TATAAAGATTAAGGTTATAAAATGAGTTGAAAGAGATTAAAAGGATGGGTGATTATATAGGCAAAAGAGGTATTAACTAGAAGAATACGATCCAGCAACTTTAAAGAGTTGTTAATATTGGGATAAAAATTATATAATTATATCAATATTAATATTAGTATCTTCTAATACTATAGTAATATGTTTTATAGCCTTAGTTTTTAGAACCTCAAGCAATATAATAATAATATGAACCATAGTACTATATTGACTTCACCATCCCCATGGTGATATCAACAGAATGAAATTAGAATTTTATTAGACTTCTATTTATAAAATTATTTTAAAGCTTTTTAAGATTATAACTGTATTAGAAACTGAAGCTTCTATATAAGAGCATAGATCTAAAGATTTAAATAAGGGTTTAAAGTTTGAAAAAAGGAAAAGAGCTTGTTTAAAACGTTTAAATCTTATTAGAAAGAAAAAGAATAATGTGTTTTTATGATCACCCTCTATTATTATTAAAGCTAGAGTATATCAAGAAGATGAAGCATTTAAAGAAAAGTAAGAAAAAAAAAAACTAAGCTTTAGATAAAAGCTGAAAAGAAAGTTAAAAAGGAATAAAAGGAGATTAAAATAAAAGAAAAAGTATTATAAAAAGAGGTTGGTTATTAGATTATATATAATGTAAAAGAGGAGGTTAAAAAGACTCTAAAATCAATAAAATCTCTAATCAAAAGAAATAAAAAGTTTTTCAAAACTTTTTCTATTATAAATCTAATATTAACAGAGATTATAAAGCTTTTTAATGCTATAGAAACTAATAATTCAAAAAGAAAGGAGAAGAAGGTCATATTATAATCTAATAAAGGGTAAATACTATAAATTTCATTGAAATTTAAAATCTGAAGATTTTATTATATTTTTAAATAATATTATATCTTATTATTTATCAGTCAAATTACCAGCTCTTTATCTTATAAATTAAAATCATTATTAATTTTTCAAGTAATTCAAAGTAGGTGATTAAAATTGTACATATAGTAAGGATATAAGAGTTTAAACCCCGGTTTATCGCACACTAAACAAAAACACACCAAAAACCCTTATCTCTTCAACTTTTAAACTATATATTAATTCAATTAATTCATGAATTAAGTTTATAAAAATAATATATAAGATTTAAAATCATTAAAATAATTCAAAAAAATAAATGAAATATTTTTAGCTATTTTTTCAATAAAATTGTAGATTCTTAAAATTAAAATTGTTAAAAATCTTGAAAAAGTGGTTTTTTAATATAGGAAAAGCATCACATATTATAAATTTTAAAAAATTTCAATTTTAAAAACCTATAGCTTTATTAATTTTTATAATTTCAAAGAACTATTTGAATCGAATATTCTTTATATAGTTATTTCTTATATCTACAATTTCTAAATCAATTCTTTAAATAATTAAAGAATTATAAAAATAGTTAATTTATATAGGAAAACAGTATTTTTGCGGGGAATTTATCACAAAAAAGGGTGGTGTACGATAAGCTAGGGCCTCAACTCTTATATATAGTAGGGAAATCGATTACTAAAAAATTAAAAGATTATTAAAGCTGAAAATAGGAGTTCCTCCCTATATGTATTATTAGAAAAGTAGATTTTATTATAATGAATATAGTTATCATTAGGCCAGTCATATCCCTGGCGTCGATCTTATCATACATTATATGCCTATTCAGGCTAGCACCTTCTTCTGTATCCACATGGACGTCCACATGAAGGTACTCATACTCCGTGCTTGGTAGATGTAGCACTGGTCTCAGAGTGAGACGACAAGATTGACTGACCTTGGGATTTTCGAAATCGATAGAACTCCATTGGAAAAAGTGGTTTGAGTAAGATCGGATCGGAGCAGTAACCTTAGATTGAATGCCGATTGAGATTAGACATTTATCTAAACTATAATTGCCTCTCTTGATGTCGCACCGCCTGTTCATAAGTAGCTTCAAGACCCTGAAGTTTTCTTGAACATTTAATCCATACGGTCTTATAATTTGCACAGGGTAGAACAATACGAACTTACGAAAGTGACAGATGTCGGATTAATACCGGCGAGTCTGATATGGAAGAACAAAAAACAGTCTCCCTGAACCCTGTGTAGCCCCTGTGTTTGAATAATTAATGATACCTTGGCGAACTTTGCCATGGAAAGGAGGAAATGAAGTGAAAGAATCGATAAAAGAGTCAATGGACACCCGTTTTTTTTTTCCACGTGCAAGATGTCGAGATTGAGACTACTCATGACAACCTTCATATTTTATCAGATTGTACAGTTCGGGAATCCATTCGCCACATAGGATAGGTAGGGGAACGAGATGCGAAAGAGCCGCGTAAAGCTTAGTGAATTATTTGATGAATGAAATGAAGCGACTCGTGAAGTTGTGAAGTGTTCGCATTGGCATGGGTGGCATAGATCCAAGAGTGATCCCTTCAAGGAACCACAACCTGTCAGATCAAAGATGCCAAAAATATATACTACTTTTTCAACGGTGCATCGAGGAAGGGATCAATGTTCTCCAAGATGCCAAGATGCTGGAACGACGATGAGCATTGAATTTGCCCAGTATGGATAATCAAAACGTTGATGTCGGTTATTCATACCGCCGAAGCATCCGAGAAATAGGGATCAACGAACTACACCTTCGGGCACGTGGGGAGCCTCTTCATCTTCATATCCTTTTGGTGGCATGACTATCATTCTTCTAGTAGATGTTTCAGTTTTAGGGGTGCGCGACCAGAACGAGCCGCTCAAAGAAGTAAGAACGAGGATCATTTCTCAGGGCGGAGAAAAGATCGTATGACATTGATGAATTAAGTTGAGTTGCGGTAAGCATAAGAATATTTGAACTCCGTTGACAGTTGGCGACATTCATCATTCAGAATATGGGAATTAGGGTTGGGCGATTTATAATGATTATAAATGTAATAATCCTTACCTCATTACAGTATACAATAATACTCGAATTTAGCATAAATTGTATGATATTAATATGTAGTATTATATGATATATTCTCTATTAACTTAATTGGTTAACTAATCACATGAATAATTTTAGTATAATATTTTATATAACTTGCCTCAAAAAGCGTTATAATATAGAATTATATAATCATCACTCATGTTATATAATCTGCCCATTCCTATTGGGAATAAGCTGTGACGTACGCTAAGCCAGTCGATAGATAGAATAAGTAGGTCAAACGAGCAACTGTCAAAAAAGGCAAATTTGTGTCCGAGGGGATCCGGGGGCCCTTGGAATGTGTCTTGATCGTAAGCTGGGAACACGAAGAACCCACAAACTCAGCATAGGCAGCTGTCGACAATACCGATACCTAGTAGTTTGGAAGCTCTCGACCATGCTGGAAATGTTCAGATGAAGAAATATTTAGACAGAGTCAGACATAAAGAAAGTGCTACATATTTTATGTATGTAGCTGAAGGATTACCTAATCTGGAGATATGTTTTAATGTGGGCGCAATCTTATGATAAAAACTATAACGATCTTTTTACTCGAGTATGATTTCCAACATCTTCAATCCAAACAGTTAGGGAGGACCGTTCGTGGTTTCATTGCTTTTTTCTTTCAAAATAGAGTGAGCATTGTGAGGGGCTATTTCGAGGAGCCAGATCATTGGAGCATCGGTAGCAACGGATAGCAAGCTCTCAAGTAAAAGCTGCAGAATAAGAATCTCTGCGAATTCCCAAAACCACAGGGAAAAGCACCACAGGGTAGAGATTCATAGTAGTTTTGATGACAAACCACTATCACTATCGCTATAGCCATGTCATTCTTTAACCCCTTTGTCGGTACTTCTCGATCTGGTGATGCTTGGTTCCTGGCTGGCCCTACATCTTCCTTTCCAAATATTACGGCTTCCGGGAACACTGTCCTATCCGATCGCTTCCCATGCAAAGGTTCTTTTGCACCTGGCTGCAAAGTTTTTCATGTGCCTGTTACCAATAGCACTCAAGCAGTTGAAGTCGAGCTTGATGATGCCGTGGCAGCTGGACTCAAGGAGCAAGTTATAGTGTTTCAATACCAAGGCGGGTTTCATGCCGTTGATCATGTAAGTTCAGTTTACTTATCCTCGTTCTATGAAAAGACTGAGGGTGTATTTCTAAGATAAAGTTGATGAGCTACTACTGAATAATTGGTAGAGCTGTCCACATTCCTCTTTCCCACTTTCACGAGGCACACCGTTTGATATTGAGGACTTCGGCATACGATTGAGCGCAGGGATACAATGTCCAAAACACGATTGGTCTTTTGATTTGATTCATGGCAAAGGCGATCGAGGAAGTTATAAGTTGAAAGTCTGGGAAGTTCAATTACGGCCAAGTTCTGGAGCAGAGAATGAAGAGAGGGAGGTTTGGGTTAGAAGGAAGCAAAGAATAGGATGAGCGTCATTCGAACCCGAACCCCAGGTTGAGATGAATATCAATCCGCCGAGAGAGGGGGGAGGGGTAGGTTTCATGGACGATGAAACTGGTTTTGTGATGAGGTTTATGCTAGAATTTTAGCCATGCTGGTCATGGACGCAGGAATCTGTCGGTATCAGGGCGCTCATGGTCCTCGTTGAATTTTGAATTTGACTATCCATGGTATGCAATCTATAACACGATGCGTATGTAGACATTGAAACTTTAATAAAGTATTGGATCTATCCTTCAGATTGCGTCGAGATTGCCTGAACGATTAAAGTTCTGCCTGCTTACAACAAAACAAGTGGGGTTACGTGGCAATGCGGGGTTTGCTGAAGATCCGCCCGAGGGTAAAACAGTCCGGAAGAATTATGAATGAATGCCTTCGCCAAAGTGTCTGCTAATAAGTTCGCATATCCATTGCAATTTGCAGCATGTCTTGGAAACACACGTAGGCGAGTGTATCGGTCAATAATTCACCGACAAATTCTTTCGATAATGAGCCGAATGTCGGAGGAATATATATACATATACATATATACATATATATATATATATATATATGTTGGCTTATTACCTCATGCTACTTTATATACCGCCTCATGTCCCTCATTTCACATTCACCAGTAGCTACTTGATTCCACTCTCCTGAAGCTCATCCAACCAGTTGTTAAGCAGTGAATACCCTCCGTGATCTCGATAATTGATCAATTAATTCGTACTTCCCAATACTCTCAAAATGGTTCGAAATCTTGGACTCCTTTTAACCGGTCTGGCTACTACTTTATTCGCATCTCCCGTTTACAGCGCAGCACCACCAGCATTTTTACTCGCCGGTGATTCAACAACCGCCGTTCAGAATGCAGGTTTAACAGGTGGTGGATGGGGTAATGGTTTCTTGGCTACCCTTCGCAATGGAGCTGGAGGTATCAATTATGGACACAATGGTGCAACGACTGTAAGCTTTGTGAATGGTGGCGATTGGGCAAAAGTGTTGGCATCTGTAGCAAAGTATAAGACAGACTATACAACTTTTGTTACAATTCAAGTAAGTATTGACAAACGGTGCAGAGGAAAGAGTGATGAGATAGTGTTAACGCACGAATTAGTTCGGCCACAATGATCAAAAGGCAACAGCAAACATCTCAGTTGCGGAGTACATGACCAATTTGAAGAACATGGCAGAGGATGTAGTAGCGGCTGGTGGAACTCCAGTAAGTCAATACTCTTTCACACGGTTGAATCTTTTTATTGGAGGATATTCAAATGCCTCCATTATGTTGGGGTCGAAAACACGAATAATTATCCATTCGAGACCTGAAATTTCCGCAGAGCAGTGCTATCGAAAATCTCAATATACAACAGAGCTAACTAACCTGACTACTTAGATTCTCGTCACTTCTCTCACCCGCCGAGCGTTCAATAGTTCAGGCCTTGCTAAGGAAGATCTGGCCGTCCAAGCCAATGCTACCATAGCTGTTGCTAAATCGATCGGATCCTTATACATAGATCTTAACCGCGCATCCACAGACTATGTCGATGCTATTGGGGCGACTGATGCTGCGACGTACAACTTGAAACCAACGGATTTCACACACATTAATGCTGCCGGAAGTGTCTTGTTCGGAAATATCGTCAGTGGATTGATCGATGTGGCCGTGGGTAGCTCAATGGGTTTCGATATTACGACTTATACGAAGCCGAATGCGACAATTGCCAAAGATGTTGCCAGTGGAACTTATATATTTCCGAGTGGATTTGGAACTCTACCAAATAACACCCTTCCAGCATAGGATTTTTGCACGATGAAAGAAGGCTTTGGAAATTGTATATACTTTGTGAGATTTCTTTTCTGGAAACAGTGTATACTATGATATGAGATTCAATGAAATGAAGATAATTATTTACCTGAATTTTCTGGTCGGGCTTTTGTTCTTGAATGCAACATGAAAGCAGATGGAACCACTTTCGAAACCCTGTGAAATGGAAAGAAATGACGGCGAGCAATGGTATGCCAGCTCGGAACGGTCCTTGATGAATGCTTTATATGAGAAAATGCTGAGAAATACTTGAAAACACACCTCTCTTACGAAATTACATGATTCAAAATTCAATCTCAAATCTCACCGATGTTCGATATGACATGACGAGTTGTGAAAGCTAAATGAATGTACAGAGTATACGTTCAAATTAAGTAGTGGCGTGTGAGCACTAGACCCGGAATATTCATAGGCTTGCTCCAAGCCAAGTAAGCCTGCCGTTTCCCCTCGGATGCACGAAATGCACGAAATGCTTGTATATGATTGAGAGTAGGTAGATAGTTTGACAAGGCGGTAGCTTATTTAGCCATGATCAATATGAATAACTATCGAATATCAGACTTCACCTCTTCATGATCGATCCTACAAGTATTATCAATGATGGAAGATGATCTTCCTTGCAAAGTTTATAGAACATGAAGTTAATAGCAATCGTCTAATGATTCCTTGCCATTGCACCATTGGAAGTCAAGTATGAAATGCTGAATGGGGATAAGCTTCCCTGTCTATGCGTTCTGTCTGATCGTACAGAGACTTTGACCTTTCTCAGAGAGTAACGTTACTTTAGTTTGTGCCGCCGCCGACTGTATCTTTCCAATACGAATATGATTCTTTGAAATATTGTTCGGATGTTTTCCGATATACGTAAGGTTACCGATGCGAGCATGATTCCAATACATCCTGAATTCTGGTACAATTCCCCAAGGGCCTAACGGCCTGCTGTTTTGATATCATTGGATGTTCTCATGATAGTTGGGTACTTAACCGCATCCCCCATACAAATGCCGATGCCGAATCTCGGACAGCTAAATGGGATCAGTCAATACCTATCCTCTGACATATTCTTGCTACCGAAATCATTCTATCACTGGCGGCTAGAACATTCAACAGTCAGACAATCGTTGTCTTCTTACTATCAAATCCCGCAGGCTTCCTTATACTTTCCTACGCTTTCCAATTTGTTCACTTCTTACGTATGGACTACGTTCGTTCTCTTCAATTGTTCACCACCAATTTGCTCTTCTATGCAAAATTTTCAATGAATGTGGAGTTTTGAAAAGCACGTCATGTGGGAAAATGCTGTCGTGAGTTTGTAATCATCTAAATAGGAATCTGTTCTCCGATGTATGAATAATACTTCGTAGTTTTGATTTGTTTTTGGCGGTTTATTAGAGGATTCAGTTAAGCTTAAAATAATAGTATACCAGTGATATGTCTTCTTGACCCCCTTCATCTGTGTTCCATATTAAACGAACAAATAAAGTCGTTCATTCTTCAACATAAATCCATACTCTATTCATCTGATACCCACAATGGTCAAATCTCACCACCAAAATCTTGAATCGTGAGATCCAAAATCCCTATCGATTTTGTTAGCCCGACCACTTCAAAGAATTCTACGTCCCGTCGAGTTCCCACCGCTGTGGGCTATTCATGGGTGTACTAAGGGACGTTAGCACGGCCAGTTCCACAAATCGGAAAGATATTCGTTTTTGTAATCTAATAATTAGCATGCGATAAGAATGGTAAATGGTGCAATACCGATGGATCAACTTTTTCCATATCGAATACGCTTAGTGGCGGTATGAGACTTTTCTTGCGTATATACCAGGTGTTGTAACTTTTGCCATGCCATGCCTCCCTCACCTACATTTTACGTTTCTTGGTATTTTCTCTTATTTCAACATTCAGTCTTGGAGAAATGGGGTTTTCATCTTTGAGAAGCCGCCTCTTTCCTCGGCAGCAGGAGGATAACATCACCCCCGCCGCTGTCGATCATGAAGATGATGGGGTAGCATCCAGTGTTACTGGCACCGACGAAATCAGTAAATCCATTGAGGAAAATGGTATTTCAACCGAGAAAATCAATCCCGAAACAGACGTCAAGGAGACCTCACCCATTGTCGAAAGCTCACCTCTCGATATCGAAAAAGCGACACCGACGTCAGGAAAGTTTGGTGATGATGATCCGTTACTTAAGGATATCCCATGGCAAGTTCGCCGAATTGTCAGTCTCGAGGATGATCCTACCGAACCTACAATCACGTTCCGCTATTTCCTTTTGACTCTGATATTTGTCGCACCGGGAGCGTTCTTATCACAAATGAGCTCATTCCGTACGACATCCGCTCCATACTCGGTCTTCTTCGTTCAAATTTGTTCCAATTATGTTGGTGTTTGGCTAGCAAAGGCTCTTCCAGCCAAGACCATCTGGTTACCACTTGGAAGAAGCTTCAGTTTGAATCCCGGTCCATGGGGAACAAAAGAACATGTATTGGTTACCATTTCTGCAGCATCTGGTGCCACTTACAACTTGGCTTACGCCCCAGTTTCTATTGCTGAGCTCTACTTTGGAATTACTATTCATCCAGCAGTTGCGATATTCTTCATGTGGAGTGTAGTATACACTGGATATTCTTTTGCAGCCATTGCTAGACAATTTTTGCTCTATGATCCTGTATACCCATGGTATCAAGCGTAAGCTGAAGACTTTCTTCGACGTCCTTTAATCATACTGCTCCTGTCTCACCTTTGTTTTTATAATGCCCTATCCCAGCTGTTCTTTTACAGCTGGATGTAGTGAAAACATTAGAGAATGATAATCGCTAACTTCCAATCTCAATAGACTCTGTCAAACTGCTCTCTTTGAAACTCAAAAGAAGCAGAGGCAACATCCATCCCGTGTTTCAAAGAAACAGATGAGGGTATTCTTTGGAGTTCTTGCAGGAATCACTTTATGGCAATTCCTCCCAGAGTTTGTGTTTCCAATGCTTGGGTCTTTGGCATTCCTCTGCTGGGTTGCCCCAAAGAACAAGGTTGCGAATTTCATGGGCTCAGGTTTGGGAGGAATGGGTTTCTTAAATCTAACACTTGATTGGTCAAGTATTGCTAGTTTGAGTAATTCCAACAGCTTGTTTGTAACTCCATGGTGGACTCAAGTCATCATATTCTTGGCTTTTGTTGTCAACTGTTGGATATTGCTTCCAGCCGCAAAATGGGGAAGTCTGGGTAGTTGGAAGCTTGAGCTGATGTCTAATCGTCTCTTCATGGGTATGTCACCTGTCCCAGACCGATATATTTGACAATCGCTAACGAATTATCAGAGAATGGAACCTTATATCCTACCACCAAGCTCATTACTCCTCAAGCCACACTTAATGAAACTGCTTACGAGGAGTATGGGCCAATCTACGTTGGTACTCAACAACTTTGGAACATGTTCTTCGATTATGCAGCATATACTTCCGGTATCAGTTGGATTTGTTTCTTTGGATTTACACAAATCAGAGACACAATCAAGAAATTGAATGCTCGTCGTAAAAACCAAGTCGAGGGAGAGACCATCAACCACCAATATGGCGATCAATTGAATATCCTCCAACGTTCTTATAAAGAAGTTCCATGGTGGTGGTCATTGATCCTCTTCCTTATCACCTTTGTCGTTATGATGGTAATCTTAGGCACCGGTAACCTTTTCATTCCTTTATGGACATATTTCATTGCGGTCCTTACAGGAGTTGTGGTCGTTGTCCCACTCGGCTGGTTATATGCACTTTCCAACTTCCAACTTCCAATCGGTACATTCAACGAACTCTTGTATGGCCTGATGGTTAACGCGGTCGACGGACACAAGAATCCTTCGGGTGCATCGGTCTACTCATCTCTTGCCGGCGATGCATGGTATCGTGCACAACTTATGCTTCAAGATCAGAAAATTGGTCACTACATGCATATCCCTCCTCGAGACACCTTCTTTGCCCAAGTCTTCGGTTGTTTCATTGGTATTCCAATTAATTACGGTGTCGTGAAATGGGTACTCAGCTCGAAAGCGGATTATTTGAGTGGTGCTGCAACAGATCCAACACATCAATGGACTGGACAAGGTCTCGCTACTACCTTGACTACTAGCACGCAATATGTTCTCATCGGACCTCTACGTCTCTTCCAGTTGCCTATTTTCAAACCTCTTCCATACGGATTTCTTGTTGGAGCAATTCTCCCAGGAATCATCTATGTTCTTCACCGTCGCTTTCCCAAAGCTAAATTCCACCTCTTCAATACCACCATTTTCTTCTCTGGTCTCTCTACATTCTATGGCAACATCTCTACTGGATACACTTCTTCCATTATTGGTGGTTTCATTGTCGCATACTGGGCGTACAGATATAGATATGAGATGTGGGCACGATATAATTATATCCTGGCCGCTGCTTTCGATGCTGGATTCAATTTGAACATGTTATTGATTTTCTTGTTCTTTGGCGCAGGAAAGGTCATTACCATGCCAAATTGGTGGGGCAATAATGGGGATAGCACAGATAGATGTTTTGCTTTGAAGTAATTGGGACATATGATGGTATAGTTCATGGATATGAATGATTCACTAGATGAACGTGGTGTTATGAACTCGATTTGAGATAATGATAATGAAGGTGTTTCATTAAACTTTGTGTGCTTTTATTGAGAGTACCCTGTGCAAATGACTCCTTGGTTATTGCAAGATAGCACTATCCTTTCGGACTGCAATGCCCCCACTATTAGCCGTACTGTTAACACCAGTCCCATTTTTCAAATAACAAAACTCCCCATCCTTTATCACCATACTAACCGCCCTACATAAGCCCCTCCTACGTCGATTCCACCTTGTGAACTTGTGGAGCAGCCCGCGTTGTACTCTGCGCAGGCCATCATGCATTGATTTAAATCCGGCATATATATTTTCATGATGTCATGGACACTAGGATTTCCATATTGAGCGCCAGACGGAAAGTTTGTGTAACAAGCGACGCGAAAAGTTTGAGCCATGCCTGATAATTTGATGGCTGAACCCTCTGAAGAGAGCGGCTGAATCAGAGAATCATTGAATGTGGAGAATTCATCGGAGCAATGGGACATTGGCGCAGGAGATACCGATGGATTAGATGGCGTAGATAATATCGTAGATGATGAAACTATATTCGAATTATCTGTAAACAATCCTTGGCTCGTGATTGAAGGTGCTGCCGAGCTAATGATACTTGTGGAATAAATGACGCTCGTTGTTGTCGAGCATACCCCAGCGGCAGGATTCTCTACTCCCAAACTTGTGTTGATACCTGTGCTAAGAAGTTGGATTAAAAGCTATCCATTGATTTCTCATAGGCTCAAGTTACCTCTTGCAATTGTTCTTTTGTGCCGCGAATTCCAACTCCTACACCTCCACCTATTCCGCCTGCGACAATGAGACATAGCAAGACGACCAAAGCCCAAAATGTTCCAATTGATAACCCCGCAATTTGCCTGCGCTCTAAAATTGCACTCTTTTCACACTGTATTCCAGAGTGATTTTTCTGTGATGACCATTGCCATGTTTGTTGTGAAGGAACATCTCGCACCTCAAGACCTGGTTGAGTCTCAACAGATGTGTTCAAGCATAAACCACTCTTCGAAAAGCTTTGCTTGTATGTATCCATTGGTGTAATATGATGAAAGGATATTTCAAAACATTAAGTAGAAATGATCGAAGATGTATTGAGTTTGTAAGAAGTGGGAAGTGAAGTCCTACCAAAGAATAGCTAAATCTAAAAATATTCCATTGAAATTAAAAGGTAGATACATACGGATCAGGTGGTAATGACTCTTTGGGCTACAACTCGTCGAATACCACCGAGAAATGATTCCATGCGCCGGTTTGTTCCATTGACACTGCGGCTGTAAACTTTTCCATATTGACTTTTTTCGTAAGAGACCAATGAGAAAGGAGACATCTTAAAGTTCAAGAACGTATATCTGAAGGATTTCGACTCTGAAGGATTTCGACTCTGAAACAACTACAGAGATTTCGAAGCTCAAGCATTGTGAGATTGGGGTACAAAAATGTATTTGCATAAGCCTTGTAGGGAGGATTTCCCGGAAGCTAGAACGATGCAACGTTCTGTAAAGCAGATTGAAGGATCAAATGGGGTAAGCCAAAGAGATCAAGTGGTTGAGCATTCACTTGGGAGTCAGATCGCATGAAGATGCGAACACCCGTAAGTAGGTACTGATTGCTATGATGAGCGAGAAAGACTGGAATCAAGTAGTACCGCTTCTGCTATGAACACAGCGATATCAGTATGAATCGACTGGTACTGATAATGGCAGGGGCTCAACCACCTAGATTTTCCTTCGTGAACGATGAAAGAAGACCTCCTACTTTTGAATAAATATTGAGAATGAGAAGGTCATCCTATGGTGAGCTGACTAACACCCTCACATCGAATCTTATCTAATCTACGAAGCCTAAGATCAACAAAAATAATTTTTTACCAAAGCTTTTGAGCTTCATGATTTGGAAGCTTTCAAGAAAGACTCGTGTCATTCATATCATTGCCTCTTATAACTTTCCCATCTCAGCAGAAGGTCCTCCGCATAACCTCTTGTTTACTGAAAGTTCATATACTTCATCAGTTTGTGTCCGCGCACATCCCATTACGTACTCCCTTTGACGCCCTCCTCAAGATTACGATCATGCCTCTCGACACTTCAACCTACTCTCTTGCTCTCCTTCGTCTTGACGGTCGCAGATGGAATGAACTTCGCCGTCTCACAGCACAAATTTCAACTCAACCTTCATCCGATGGATCTTCATATCTTTCAATGGGTAATACCCAAGTTCTCTGCACAGTGACGGGTCCTTGCGATCCTTTGAAATTACGATCAATTGGTGGTGGTGGAAGTAATAATGCGGGGGAAAAAGCGGAAGTAAGAGTCGAGATCAGTTTCGCAGGCTTCGCAGGCGTAGATAGGAAGAAGTATGGTAGGAATGATAAGTGAGTTCCCTTTGATTCTATTATTCGCTACATATTGCGAATCTCAACTATACTGGCTCGAGTGGAATAGAAACTAACCCGGTTCGCTGCAGACGTCTCCAAGAACTTTCAAATACCTTATCCACAACCTTTGCTCCTCATCTCCTTACATCTTTGACTTCTCATTCAACAATCCTCATTTCCCTTCATATTTTGTCATTAGACGGCTCACTTCTCTCTGCACTTATCAATGTCTCAACTCTTGCTTTAATCGATGCTGGTATTCCAATGCCTTCTTATATTTGCGCTTGTACAGCTGGTTCTACATCTTCATATTCAAGTAATGATGAAAAAGCAGATCCATTATTGGATTTAAACTTGGGTGAGGAGCAAGAATTACCATTCCTCACGGTTGCGACAGCAGGAGAAGGCGACGGCGATGGAGTTGTGGCATTGGTCATGGAAACAAGAGTACAAGCCGGTAGATTGGAGGGCATGTTAGCTGTGGGAGTTGATGGGTGTAAACAGGTCAGAGAGATTCTCGATGGAGTGATTAGAACTAGAGGAAAGAAAATATTAAGTGGTGCAATGGCTTAGTAGGGCTAGATCTGTACATTAGACGAGGGAAGAACAGCATCATTAGATGATACCCAAGTGTTTTGATGGCGTCATAATGGAAATGGGATAGGATGTCAGGAATTGGAAAAATTACATCAAGGAAAACATGTGATGATTAATAGAAGTTCGGCGCATGCCTCATATATTCACGAAATGTATGATGGTATGTATCTTACTATTACTACGCAAAATATAAACAAGTGCTGCAAACTACCATTCCAGGAGAACTCGCAAAACAGAATTCCTCCCAAGGACTCCGAGATTCCTTAACAAAGACTTGCTTAAAGTTCTCCATGTTTGATCTCGGGTTCTGGAGTTGGTGGTTCCCAATCTTCCGGAAGCTCCTCAATGACAATCATAGGCTCATCTGCAGCTTTTGGTTCTAGTTCTGGAGCTACTTCTTCTACAACAGTTTCCTCAACCTCCTCAGGAATGAGTCCCTCGGGGATCTTCTTCTTCTCACCTTCACCCAATCTGATGGCGTCAACCCAATTCTCAATTGCTTCGATTGTCACATCCTCAGAAGCTAGGGAGTTGCCTTTGCTAGGGAGAGCTCGATACCAGTTTCGTCGTCCATTGAGAGCAATGATTTCAGCATCGCCTTTCAACCCTAAAGATTCTTTGACTTGAGAGAACCCAGGGTTTTCGGCTTGTAGGATGTAGAATGGGAACAACTTTCGTTGATGTAAATGATGTTTATGGGAAACTTCGGCTAATGATGTAGAAGCTAAACCCATAATCTCGTTTGAGGTATCTGGAAGAAGTGCAAGAATACATGTACCGGTTTTAGGGCCAAGACAATTCATTTTCAGGTCGGCTTCAGAAGTAAGAATAGGGATTGCAGGCGCTGGTGGAAGTACAATTGGTTTTTCTGTTTCGACTTCTGGTGATGGTGATTCTATGGGTTGATCTTCTAATGTTTCATCTGTTTGAGTGACAGGGTTTTCGGATTTGGCGTGAGATTCTGATGCTGCTTCGAAAGATTCCTTTGCTTTTGCGGAAGACTTTTTGTTTGTTTTGGATTTGGAAGCTTTAGGCTTTGCTGCTGGTGGATCTGGATTAGGTTCGGCAGCTTGTGTAAGAAATTTGACCATGCCATCCTTCTTCAATTCCCCACCATACACAATTCCCTCAGCTGCTTCACCACCGGGTAACAAAATAAGTGTAGGAAATTCAGTGATGCCAAATAACTCAATGGAAGCTTTCTCTGTGTTTCTGATTTGTGCCACCTTGATACTGCCCTTGAAATCAATGGCAATGGCTTTCAATGTTGCGCTTGTCTTTCCTTTGTCGGTAAATAGAATTGCTTTCGCAGTGTCATTCGCATCGGCCAAAAAACTCTCCAAATCTTTATCTGCAACTCTTTTTACAAGATTTGGAATTTTATCGACTACTGCATCGACAATTCCTTTCGCAGTTCGTGGTCCATTGTAATCTTCAACGATTGGCTTTCCGGGTTTGCTTCCAGGTTTAACAATCTTGAGAGTAGGGAACCCTTGAACACCGAATCCTCCGCAGAAAGCTTTATTCGATTCTTCATCGCAATTGACTGCTGCAACTTTCGCGAGACCAGCGAGACTCTTGGCGGCTTTTTCGTAAGCTGGTTGAAGGTTCTTGCAATGTCCACACCATGGAGCATAAAATTCGACAATCTGTATAGTGAAAGGTTAAAGACCGATGTGCCGATAGAATGATTGAGAACAAGCGGAATGCTTACGGAAGTATGGTTTGATTGCGCGATCACACGATCATAATCCTTTCCATTGATTGACAAAACCACTGAACTCTTTGGGTACAATCCAGCATGAACTGCGGGCAAAGCACACAACAAAGCCGCAGCTGCAGTTGAAATGACTCCAGTGTTAACCATTTTTAATAACTGTAAATTGTACTTACTACCTGTAGCTGTAGGAGCTATTGGATTTTATCAATACATGAAAGAAGATAAACAGAGTGGAAGTATGTGAAGGTGGTGTATTTGTGTAGGCGAAAAGGCCACAGTCGCAAGATGTGCATTACTAGGTGGATGAATTTGGATGAGGCATCATTATTAAGTGAAATCCGGGGTAAAAACACCTACTAGGCATCCCGTCCATACTGCTATGCTACTTTAGTGTTCATTTGGCGGTGAAATGGCAGAATTCAATTAGTGAAGGGCGGGGTTGTTATATTCAATTGTAATTAAGGCCGGATTTACTGTTGTTCTATTATCGCATCGCATTTTCATCGTACACCATTCACAAAGAAAAGTTCAGGTAGAGCTTTCAACGAATCACTAACTTTTCTCATACTTAACCTCGCTGCCGCTCTCCATTCAAATTGCAAATAATATATGCAGCGCAAGCTTTCCCATCCGTCTCTAATCATATCCCGTCCTACCTATACTCACCGAGCCACCATTCTTGAACTCAACACCCATAGTCAATAATGGCGGCACAAATCCCCCCAAAGTTGAAGACTGCAGACTTAACTCGATTCATTATCAAGGCGGCACAACTCGAAAATGCGAAGCCGGTTATATCATATTGGTGTACGTATGAAAGTCTTACCGCACAATCCAAATTCTAACATTACCATTCCCGCAGGTGAATACTGGATCGTCAATCAGATTCTTTCAAAGGGACTACATGCTGGGGATGCAGAGACGCTACAATATACTACTACTTTGATGGAAAAACTTGAGAGGGTATGATAACCCTATGTTTGCGAATCTGACTATAGTTAAATCGTGGCAGATAAAATCCGAGAATCCAAACAATGATGCAATCATGGATGATACTGCTGGTCAGGCATACTGTGAACAATTTGGCATGGAAATATTTTCAAGGGCGGATCGAGCTGTTGAAGCAAATAAAGCCACAAAGTACGATCTCGATAATTCTATGCCTCTTACACACTGACTAATGATCTCTAGACAAACTGCCGAAAATTTTCAAGCCGCAGCAACCTTCCTGGAACTATTGAATATCTGGTCACCACCGGATGCTGAAACTCAAGCAAAGATCAAGTATGCAAAGTGGAACGCAGTTCGTATCGTTAAAGCATTGAAAGAAGGAAAAGATCCTAATGAATCTAATCCCAAACCACAACCAACTCCCAAGGATGAATTACCAACATTAGATCCAAATGATCCAGAAGTACAATCTTTGGGCGAACAGAAAGCACAACAAGCTTCTGTGGAAGATGTCACCGATGAGCAAGATCAGTTGGAAGCAAATTTAGCAAGGCAATCATCATTAGATCGATCTTTACATCCCTCTAAACAAGTATCTGCTCGTGGATCTCCAAACAATGAATCGGCCCCATTTGAACCATTTCCTCGAGATGGGTTTCCATTTAATGCAGTCCAAGACGATAATGTTTCCGCTCTTGAGCCATCCCCGAAAGATAGAAATGGATCTATAGGAGGAGGATATTTTCCAGAAGTTCCAACCTTTACATCTGGACCTCGAGATGCAACTTTACCAACAGCTCCCGCTCCAGATACCGCATTTGACCTTGGTCTACCTGATACATCTTCTCTTGTAGCACCTGGAATTTCTCCCGGAATTCCTTCCGGAATGGAACTATCTCCAGATTTCCAATCATTTCCACCCCCAACTTTACCCGGAGAACAACCGTCAGTTACTACACCTCAAGACTTTTATCGTCAACCTCCATCATCAGACTATGGAAAAGTACATGTATCACCTACCAACCAGACCTATCAACCTAGACCTCCCCCATCAAATGATTTTACAGCACCAATAGTCCCACCACTTACACAAGCTCGCGGTCAATTAAATACGGACGATGAAGCAATTGCTAAAGCACAAAAACATGCAAGATGGGCAATTTCAGCCTTGAACTTTGAGGATGCTGAAACGGCAGTAAAGGAGTTAAGGGCGGCACTACAAACGTTGGGTGCGCAATGATTTTGAAGACAAGTGATACTTTAGAATTTGATGTATTTAATTCAATAGGCGGCAGGTTCACTTGTGATTTTGCAAAGCAAATACCCAATTGTTATTCAGTATCTTTTTTTCGACAAATTTCTATCTGATTCATTGTTCAGCTCAATATGTATCAATCCAGTCATTTGTATCCTCAATCCAAACCCTTTCTATGAATTCCGGCTTTGCACTTGATTTCTAGCATGATTCTTAACGGCCTGGACTATCGAAAACACTGATATAGTCTAGTATTATGAGAATTGTTGCTCTTGAATATCAGAAACTTCGACTATCACTGCTTTCAAGTCAAGTGGATTTAATGTAATAATGCTATTTGGGATTTAAAGGGGATCACCATTAGCGAAATTGGCAAAACTCTATTGAAGTAGGGAACGTTCTATGAAATGATTTTTCTTACAAAATCTATAAGTCCAATGTGTGTTCCGAAGTCATTCAAAACGAATTCCTCAAATGTTGCAAAGAGTTCCTCGTCTCAACCATATATTCCACGGCGATCTTTTGAAAAGCATGTTACTAGTTTTTATCAAGTCTGCCTCAATGGCATAGTTCTTGATCATGGATCCATGTCTGACAGAAGCAAGATTTACAAGGTAATGTACGACCATGTCCGTTTTCTTATCATCGACAGTGAGATCCTCAAACGATTCTACTAGTCTTGAATCCCGAACCTTTTTTGTCGACGTTGGGTATCCCGAATTCAGAGTTTTGAAGATATGCATCGAAAAAAAACCGTCCCCAATGTCAAATTCGCTTCGTCTATGTATCGTCAAAGCTTACTTTCATTCAAAGACCAAAATGCACATTTAGTTCATTCCACTCTTAGCTATGGAATGGAGACATTCGCGGATTCCATCAATTGCAATAACAACGTGGATTCGCTGGACTCTACAGCTCCACGGCTGCATTAGTTTATTTCGCTTCATACAACACAAGCCAGCACACGAGTATAGCCCAGTCTCGTGAATGCAAGTACAGCATCATCAAAAGTCTAAACATTGTAGATAGTCCGGCAGTCCCTCTCTACACAATGAAGACTGTTGCTCTTAGTCTTACATATTAGTGAATAAAGAAGAATATAATAATAATCATGATGAAGCTGCTTGTAATAAATCGGATATATGATATCTGCTATAGTAGAAAAATGATGCAATA